AGGAACTGAAGAGTTTGAAAAATAGATGGAAAGAGTAACACTTGCAGAATTACTGTAAAAAAAAAAAAAAAAGAAGTGTAAATGACAAAATTATGTAGAGTCAGAAGCCTATATCTATCTTGTAGTAACATTTAGCTCATCTCCATCCTGTCAGTTTTTGTTCCCATCTCATTTTTTTCTTCTCTTCTCCTCTTTCCTCTACTCAGCATCCTAAAATAGATCTAAAAAGAGTCCGTGGACAGTGGTAATGTTTTGTAATGAAAAAGGGCACAAACCACCAGTGGTCCTCTCTGAATGCTCTGCTCTCATTCAGTCAGAATGACTCAGTTAACAAAGGTCAATTCTCTAAGGTAACAGTAGCAGCACCCAGCACCACTGTCATCAACATTGTCATCATCTGTTTCAGATTCTCTGTTTCACCTTGTTTAAGTCTTTTTTGTTGTCTCTGTGGTGCTCTTGTTCATCTTCTCTCTTTGCAGGTTGAGACTCTTCTTCTTGTGTGCGGCTGATATTGACATATCAGAGAAAAGAGTTCCCTAAGTTTGCTTTCCAATGAAAGTGCTACACAAGTGACATCTACTTGTATTATTCTGGGATGTGGTTATTTTCAGGGTGCTTTAGTTTTTTCTGTGTACACATCTTCAATTTTATCAAAGTTAAAGTGATCAAACAGCTTGACAGTAGTTTGCTTGGATATTGTTTGCGGTAGGTAATTCATATCAAACACTGGACTCTATTCATCATTAATGCCTTTCCCAGTAATTGCATATTTTAAATACAGAGAGGAATGTTCATTCTCATGGCATTGTATATTATTGTAATTTACTGACTGCAATTGGCGACAAAGATTATCCGGTCAGTGGTCTTTTTATTGATTTACCTGCTGCTTTTTTCATTCATCATGACACTCGATAGAAGTATCACAGTCACCACACACTCTGGTAAAAGCTAAGAAACAGCTGTACTTCTTAAGCAAACTTAAGTGGGCTAAATTCCTGTGTCAAGTTCTTGATAACATTTACAGAGGATCAGTGTAAAGCCTGGTAACTGGAAAAATCAGGAACTGGCACGAAATGTGCACACCCCAAGACCTGGAAACTCTGCAGGTGATTAATACTGCTCTGAATGTCACCAGTACCAATCTATGGAACATAAGTGATAAACTATATAAGACAATCCACCCCAGTCACAACCTGTTATGTTGTATTTGCTTCTAAAGCTAAAATGGGAAGTATAAGAAGTAATTAAAATTTTACACTTTGAAAGGAGAAGTTTTTTTGTCTCTGTAGACAAGTTTGAAATGACTCAGTTCTGAGCTGCTGTTGTTTGTTTTTGTGAGAATGAAAACTAATTGTGTGGATTGTTTGTTTCCAAAACGGAAATGCTTCCACACATTTCCAAATGAATGTTTTTCCCTTGAGAAATGGCAGACCATCAAGGTGGAGCATAAACAATAATTAATCACGTTCAGGGCTCAGGCATCAGTGAAGTTCTCACATTTCTGCGCAGTTTTCTCTGCAAATTCTCACAGATGTTCTGCACACTTGGCAAAAGATTTGGCCCTCCAGGGTTGATACTGTCTCAGCTTTTCCTGTGAGATTGTATCTCTCTGCAGCGTGGCATCAACCATGGGCTTTTTGTCATACATATTTATAGAAGTGTTTGTTAGCAATGCAAAACAAACCTCATTAGTTTCCCTCAGGTGCTAGGCTTTCATTAAAAACTAATAAAATATAGTTTGTTGCTAGATCCTTGGGGACTGTTAGATTTAATTTATATCTTATAACTGTTCTTCTTTCCCCAAACAGAACAACAGATATCTCAAGGAGAGTGGCCTATGCAGCTTGATGGGTGTGTAGCTATTAGAAGTGTGTGTTGCAAAACTGAAACAATTATTCGGGTTATTGGTTAAAGGTCAGCAGCCACTTGAAGTGTAAATTAATTGTTTCAGTGATTTTTTTCTTTTTAATTAAAGAAGGCCAAACTTACCTTTTCAAACATCTCATATGTGATATTGCTTACTTATTTTTACTTATATACATTGTGAGGAGGTATTTGCCCCCTTTCCTAAATGTCTTCTTCTTCTGTTATTCATATTTATCAAACAAATGTTAATCAGACAAAATTAACCCAGAACAGTTGTAAACTTTCCCAAGACTGGCCAGCCTACCAAAATTACTCCAAGAGGTCATCAACAACTCATCCAGTGGTCACAAAGAACCCAGAACAGCATGTAAAGAACTGTAGGTCTCACTTGACTCAGTTATGGTCAGTGTTTATGCTCTTTGCCAGAAAAATCCAGAAGGAGAATGTGCAGCTTGGTTATGGAGCAGGACAATTTATTATTGTTTTGTTTATTCGTATTGTTGCCCTTGCTGCTTAACTAATTTCTCCTTGTGGGACCATAAAGTATTGCATTGAATTGCACTGATCTGAAGCACACCAGCAAGTCCACCTCTCAAAGGCCCAAAATCTGGATTTAAATCTAACTGATATGTTTGGCATGACCCTGGTTTCATGTTCAGAAACCAACCATACAGTCATGTGAAAGAGTCATTGTCTATTATCACAAGTGGCTGATCAAATTTCTTGCTACTAAGGGTGGCATCGCCAGTTATTACGTTTAGGGGGCAATTACTTTTTTCACATGGGGCCATGTGGGTAGGGTTTGCTTCTACCCTGTGATAGATGAAATCATTATTTAAAGACAGCTTATTGTATTAACTTGGGTTATCGTTGTGTAATATTACAATTATTTAATGATCTGAAACATGTAAGCATGACAAATATGCCAAAAAAAAAGATTGGGGCTTAAATAAATTACTTAAATTGTTTGACTTTTTCACCACACTGTAAGGGTCATTTCAGTAACAAGCGCCCTGAAGGCATCAGCAGTAGCGTAGTTTTCAACATTGACTGGATGACTGGATAATGAAAATAATTTTGCGATGATTATGATTTGTTGTTGCGCAACTTTGAGCCCTAAAAAGCAAAGACTTTCTGCAGAGGCAGCTGTTGGGGTCGGTTAAGGTCATGCTCTGCTACGCTGTGACCCTGGTGGTGCGGCTTAGCCAGTAGTGATGCGACTGCTGCCCTGCCCCAGGATTCAGCTGTCTACTCAGCTTATGGTCATTCGCTGTGCTGACTGTGGAGACCTGGCACTGCTATATAGTTAGCTGAAGGTCAGTTCAGGCTCTGTGTCAGAGGGGTGGTGGTGGTAGAAGGTGAGGATGTGAAATGTAAAGGGGATAATGAAGAAGTCTCAGTGATTATGAGAGGCGCAGGAGATGTTAACTGCTCAAGCAGAACACACAACCTTCAGGTCTATTTTACAGCTCAGATCCTGAGTTTGTCTCAAGGAAATAGTTAAATGTCACAAAGGAATCACCATTCAGTGTACAGACTGGCTTACACAAATGTATTTTTTTCACCATTTCAATTTTAATACAACTAAGAAAACATCAACTGTATCGCTGTTAATAACAAAATAAATAGGCTAGTTTTTCACAGATTCCACTGCCTGTATTCATGTGACTTGTTTTATTTCCTGAGGCTTGTAGATGTCTGTATCTAAGATTTTTGCTGCCACTCCAAAATGATTGTGATGCCCAAGGCTCCAAAGATGACATTTGGAAAATTTCACAGCATGTATCTTTTCAGATACGGTTCCAGAGCTTGTCGGGAAAACTCTGACAGAAGACATAGACCTTTAAATTTTGATCATTCAGAGATATTGGTGAGAAGCGTAGATGTGTTGAAGCAATTTAATGGCAGGTCCACTTGTTAAGCAAGTGTGTCTGAATTTAAGCAGGAATCCAAAACCAGGCATTTCTCTGTTAGAGGTCTATCCTAGTTTAAAGCTTAGTTTAAAGTCTTCATATCCAGAGTGGATAAAACACTTGTCATCCAGGTTGTAAATTTGTTAAGTCAAAGGCTGTAATTTTTCTTGATTCTTTATTTTGCCTTTAATTTACACCAAAAACTCAGGTTTTATCGGAAAAGGAAAATGATAATATGTAAATGTTAAATCTTTATTAGAGAATGACCATCAGGAATCTGATTTCCTTGGGATTCTGACAGGGACATAACTGGATTTAACTTTGAACTATTAGAGTATAAGTAAGATGGATGCATATATATACATATAAAAAAGACAGATATCTACAATAAAGTAACTTATCCAACAACGTTTCACAAATCTCCAAACAATGGACAAACAATGAAGCAGAAAATCAACAGATCCAATTCAACTATCCATTTTTTGACCTGCTTATCCAGTTCAAGCTTGTAGAACAGACTGATAATAAAAACAGCAGTAAGGGGTGCTGGTATAACTCACTGGGTTGAGCAGGTGATCCGTGTGCTGTACAGCATGCAGACGCCTGAGTTTGGAGGTGCCCTTAGGGCATATAAGGCATGTCTTCCTCTTTCTCTTTCTTCCTGGGTTCTCTCTGGGGTTCTATCTCCATAATGTATATAAAAAACATTACTCATAAGTCATAGCCGTTTGTATTGAGTATTGTAGTACTTAATGGTTACATGAATTTCCCCCAATTTAAGTCATTTTTCATGCTAGGGCATCAGTTTCTTGGTAGGCTGCTTCCACCAAGATGAATGAATGTTTGGCCTCAAACTGAGGGAATCTATAGGCTAGCATACTTTATTTAGCATGTGGACCATACTGTACCAAGGAGTACATGCCAAATAATACTTAAAGAGGGAGAGAATAGGAATTACCTACCAACAAGTGCAAAACTAGCAAAATAGCTATGCCTTATAAGGAAATTGTAAACTCACTGCAGTGTTTACCTCAGAGGCTTTTGTTCTGTACAAATAGGTGTGCACAGGCTTTCTTCTTCAAGCTGTCTGAGTTCATGATTTGCAACCTTGGATGCGGTTTTGGGCTATTTCTCAGTAATGACCTCAACTTTCAGTCGTCTCCCACCAGAAATGACACCTGCAGTAGTCAGTATGCAGACTCATGTTTGTGTTTCCCCCAGGATCCCACGATTCCTTCAGTTTTTACATCGATGAAGCGTCTCCAGTGGGCCCCGAGCAGCCAGAGACGGTGCAGAACTTCGTTTCTGTTTTTGGCACGGTGGCCAAGAAGCTAATGAGGAAGTGGTTGGCTACACAGACTATGAACTTCACGAGCCAACTGGAGGCTGGGATCCGGTTCTTTGACCTGCGCATCTCCACCAAGCCCCGTGACCCTGAAAATGAGCTGTACTTCGCCCACGGGCTCTTCAGTGCCACGGTCAGAAAAGAGTAGAGTTTTGATGGTTTTTGATGTGATGACTGTTTAGCAATGCTTGTGGTTGCTAAGTGATGTCTAACCATCTCTGTGTGTGTGGCAGCGTATTTATATTTGAGTGTAGACTGAGAGCCTAATTATACAAGGTCCTTCAGAGATTTGAAGTACACAGTTCACAGTCTGTATGTCTACATTTAATATCATTAAATCACTAAAGATCTTAATAACGTGCATATTTGGTTTTTTCTTTTCTTTTCTTTTCTTTTTTTAGGTCAGAGAAGGCCTAGAGCAGATCAGCAGTTTTCTGTCAGCTCATGCCAGAGAGGTGGTCTTCCTGGATTTCAACCACTTCTACGGCATGCAGAACCTGCACCATGAAAAACTGGTGACCATGCTAAAGGAGGTGTTTGGAGAGAAGCTCTGCCCTGTTGTTTTTGCTCAGGAGGTATAAATACACTTAACTTTTAACAGGGAGGAGGAGGGGTACGTGAAGTAGGAGCAGCTGAATATTTTTCTGATGCTTCTTCATCTTACCAAGAGAATCTTATTTAGCTGAGTTCAAAAGACCTCAAGCAATTATTGTTTTCTCAGCACCGCGCAACAGTGATTTTGTGTTTTGATCAGTACCGATGTAGAATTATGGTTATTACATCTGTAATCATAGTTCATTTTTTCACTCATGCCCATTTGCTTAGGAGACAAGTAGAAAAGTCTCCCTAAGATGAGATTTTGCTGTTTTTTTGTCTTTTTTCCCATCCAATTGTGGCCCACCTTCATCTCCCACCCTCCCCTGTAACTGAAAAACCCAAAATAAGCAGTACCAGTTAGCCCTACAATTCATGAACTATACCACAATCGCTGTCACCACTCTAAGATGAGCACCTTCCTGTCAGGTGCAGCAGCTGAGTGAAAGAAAAAGAGGGCAAAAAGGCCACGAGTGACTAGTAGGTTCTGAGAAAACAATGAGCTTCTCCTCAGTGTTTAATTTTGTAGACTGAGACCTGTGACTGTAAGTTTATCTGCTGTTCCCTTGTCATCTCTATAGCCCACATTTGCTTTGCTATTCAAAACTAATCCACTTCAGCACTGTTTTCCAGCACTTGTTTGGTCTATTTTAAGAACTAATATTCAGCTGCAAGCCCATTTTTCAAAAAAACAAATCAGCTCAAATAATCAGCTGGAAAAGAAGATGTGAAGTGTATGCGTCTTGGGATTGTGATGAAAAGATTTATTTTTGGTGTAATTGACACTCCCTGAGGATCATCTAGCTCATTGCTGTTACCGGTTGCTTACGATTAATTAATATTGCTATCCAGCATTTCTTTCATCAGATGTAGCCAACAAAATTCAATTCAATTCAATTCAATTCAATTTTATTTATATAGTGCCAAATCACAACAAAAGTCGCCTCAAGGCGCTTCATAGATACAGAGAAAAACCCAACAATCATATGACCCCCTATGAGCAAGCACTTTGGCGACAGTGGGGAGGAAAAACTCCCTTTTAACAGGAAGAAACCTCCGGCAGAACCAGGCTCAGGGAGGGGCGGCCATCTGCTGCGACCGGTTGGGGTGAGAGAAGGAAGACAGGATAAAAGACATGCTGTGGAAGAGAGACAGAGGTTAATAACAGATATGATTCAACACAGAGAGGTCTGTTAATACATAGTGAGTGAGAAAGGTGACTGGAAAGGAAAAACTCAATGCATCATGGGAATCCTCCGGCAGCCTACATCTATTGCAGCATAACTAAGGGAGGATTCAGGGTCACCTGGTCCAGCCCTAACTATATGCTTTAGCAAAAAGGAAAGTTTTAAGCCTAATCTTAAAAGTAGAGAAAATGTGCTGCTGATGTCCAGCTATACACATAAGCATGTATTTGTAAGAATGCAACTTGTGGGAGACAGTCTCACTGTTTTTACGTCTGCAAAAATGCTTCCAGAAATGTATCATCACGTTAGAGCCAATGTAATTCACTTAAAATAGATTTTATATGTAGTTTGGTTCACTTACAGCTCTCTGTTGGTGTTTTATTGAGCCACTAACTTCAAAAATAACACATCTGACACCTTCTGTGATAAGTCAGTACTGAATATTGAAGAGAAATTCATTCATTCAGAATTAATTCAGAACTAAGCTGTCAATAAATCAGCTACCTGTTCAGGTTGTTTTATGTTCCTCAGTTTATAACCTCTTGCTACTATGAACACCTTCCTCCCTCACTCAGGTGAGTCTGCAGTATCTATGGGAGAAGGAGTACCAGGTGCTTGTCTTCTACCACCATCCCATGGCCCTGGAGGTGCCCTTCCTGTGGCCAGGCCAGATGATGCCTTCTCCCTGGGCCAACACCACTGACCCAGAGAAGCTGATTCAGTTTCTGCAGGCATCTATCACTGACCGCAGGTACATTTCATATTCATGAATTCAGTGTCTGCTGCACAGAGTATGAAATCGGATAAAATCTGTTGTGTTCCGCACATAAATTTTTTTAATCACTTTAATTAATGATCCATGTTTCATTAACTTGGTTTTATTTTTTGTAACTTTGCAAATGAGCCATAAGGATTAAACACAATGGATCTTTTTATCATGATGTAGATATATTGCAGTGCTTAGAGGTCGGTACAAATAATTTGTCTTGCTTTTGGCTCCTTTGCTTAACTTACTGATTTCATCAGCATGCTGCTACAAGTAAGCAAGCTTTAAAAAGATTAATTGCAGTAAATGCAAAGTAATTAATTCAAAGGTAAAGCAGTGAATTATATAAGAAGTAGCACTTCTGTAAAGCAAATATATTATGGTGACTATTAAAAAGGAAGAAAGTTACAGCAAAGATAACATGTAAACCCTCAATGTTTCTCTTGCAGGAGGAAGGGGACATTTTTTGTCTCCCAGGTGGTTCTGACACCAAAAGCCAGCACTGTGATGAAGGGAGTGGCTAGTGGACTGAGAGAGACAATTACAGAAAGGTGTGCTCATTTATGTGCATGTTTTTGTGCTCATGATCGCTAGTATGCTAGGCCTAGCAATAAATGCATTGTTACCACCAGTGGTGGCACACAGTCTTCTTCCACACATACACAGACGCTCAGTTTTGTGACCAGAGTTATGGAAACACCTCAGGCACCAGAGCCCACAGAAGTGATTTAGCCATAACAGCTCGCAACAAAAAATCACAAGCGTGTGTACCCTGACAGATACACACTTTAGGAGTCAAATGTGAGTCATTGTGGCATTTTGTAACTACAACCAAAGGCATGGTGGTTTCTACAGGTATCCCCAGGCATTTGACAATGGCCTAATTCGAGTTATTGTTTTTCTTTCATATTTTTTTTGTCTGGAACAGCTGCCATAAACCAGAGGCAATTTTTCCTCACGTTATGTCTCCTCTTTCCAGTTATGGTACACAACTTTTTTTTTAAATTATATTAATTTACCCTTAGCTTTGTCTGTGTTTCATTCCCTCTTAATGTCCCCAGTTTGTTAAAAGCATCAACAGCGAAAGCATCAATTTTCCTGGCATGAATTATTCATTTGATAATTCCACTATCAGCCTCTCTCACCAGGCGCTTAGTGACTTTGATGTAGGCATCCTTCAGAATCCCATCCAAGCGTTTTGCACATAGACTGCCAGCGTTGGACATAACAAGAACGCAAACAACGAGGAGACAATGCGTAGATTTTATTTTTAATTTTTATGCAGAAAGCTGCTCTTCTTTGTTGCTCAGCTTACGTGAACATGTCCAGCATGTTCAGAGTGTCCTTCACGCAGCTGGTGTCTGGCTCACAGACATCACATGCAGCATCACAGGGATCTTTTATCTCAGCACGCCCCTCTCTGTGTTTAACCAACTGTGAATCATCCCTTCCTCTCTTCCTTTTTTTGACATAATTTTTTTCCCCTTGCACTCTTTCCACTAACATGATTTTTCTTTTCATTTCTCGCAGGGCTTTACCGGGTATGATGCAGTGGATCAGATCTCAAAGACCCGGGGAGAGCGGCATTAACATCATCACAGCTGATTTTGTGGAGCTTGGAGAATTCATCAGCGCCGTCATCACCCTCAATTATCACCTGGATGACGAAGACGACGATGCGACCTGAGAACCCGCAGCGGGCGTCAAGGAGTGCAGTCACCACCACTGATACTAGTGGTTGCGTCTGTGCTCTCACTCTTTTCTCTTTGGCATTTATTTCAGGAGGGGGAGCTAAACGGCTCCTTTCACTTTATTTAGGGCTATAGTGAGATGAGCGGTCAAATGGAAAAAGGAGATTGAGGAATTTCAAGTTGAGACTGGTAGACATAACGCTGATGTTCGGTTGGAGCACTTTGAGAGTGAGGTTTTGTTTTGTTTGTGTCCAGTTTTAGGGGATCCAAAAGATTTTTGCTTATTTTGTTTGTTTGTTTTTTTTCAGGTAAAATGTTTATTTTCTTTACTCCCTGTGCTGTAAAAATCCCTGCTTTGTCCACTGATCAAATGCACTGTTTTCAGGCTTACCACTTCATCACGGGTAGGTTCCTCAGAGCATATCAACCGTCTGCTAAATGTATTGGTACATCGTGGTATTCTAGTGACAGTGACAGTTTTTTCAGAGGCTGTTTATAATAAGTCTGTGTATCTCAAACTTTAGGCCGGTGTAAGTAGCTAGCAGTTGTATGTCTTGTTTGGCAAATCTGTCCAAGTGAATTTTCTCTCTTTTGTTTTTAACAATATGCATCTTTGGTCAGATCACTGCGGGTGTTTTTGAAAACGCCTCCAGCAGCTTGAATGCAGAGTGTGATTAAAAAGTGTTGTTCCAATGTGTTTATTCAATACATAGACAAAAACAAATCATTCCCATTTCTTTTTGAAACTGTATTCCCTCGTGGGATTTTCACCCAGTAAGTCTCCACTGAAGCCAGCTTGCAGCAATGGCGTTTATTAGACACCTGTGTACTCTAAAACTATTTATCGATAGATTAAAATGATTCATGCAGTAATTCAAAACCATATTGCAAGAGAGAGTGAGAGTGCAGCTTGGCTGGCCGACAAGTGTTCTAATCATGTAAGATGGATACACAGCGGTCTCTTGTGCATGAGCACTAAAACAGTAATTTTCACATTATCTGTTTGATTCATATTGCAAGACAAGCATCAGTTCTCACTGTTGGAAATGAAGTTGATGAAACAAGACATTTCTAATGAGAAGGCATTCAGTGTGACTTTTTTTTTTTGCATTCTGTTGTGGGTGTTGAGTCGTGACAGCCAAGTATAAAAATACAGTATATCTGGGTACCACCGTCTGCATTTCCTTTGCTCATTGCTTGCCCCCAGTCTGCATATATATCTATATATATATGCAGATATATATATATATAGATATAGCTATAGATATAGATATATAGATATAAATAGATATAGATATGAGTCACCCTGAGCTCCATCACTGTGTCATGTATTTCATAATACTAGGTGATAAATGATAAAACTGCTTCCCAGCCACTCAGAGACTTATTGTATTAAAAAAAAAAAAAACTGTCATAATTTAGAGTCAGGGGTCCTGATTTGGCAATGATGTTTTATCACTAGGAAAATAATACAAGCATCTTCTTATCGCTCATGTTTATGAATCCCTCAATTTCTGCTGTATCAATGTTAGGGCAATACATTAATTTCTTATTTATATTTGGTGCATTTCATTCTTTTGCTTCCCGGGTTTAAATCAAGATGGAAAAGTACAAAGAAATGAGATTCAAAAAGACATCTTCTGCTGCAAGGTTTTATGCATGGAAAACACACACACAAACACACACACATACTAGTCAAATATCCACACACCTCATGGTCTGTGTGGTATTTTCTGTAGAGAATGTATTCTGCCAGGACAGTGTTAAGAAGTTCAGTAATGTAAAGCCAAAAACAGAAAACTTTACTCTTTGGATCGGTGAATGTATGTGTCTCGTGCGTATCTGTGCCATTTCTAAAAGTTTCATGTGAGTGACTGAGTTTCAGCTAGAAAGTCATGTTTGTATTATTATGCTTCAATGTGAAAATGAGTTCAAGTTTTAGAGTTTAAAGATGTGGTTTCATGTTAAAATGTTTTATATCGTGGAGAGTTTCTACATACTGTAACTGCAAATAGTATACTGCCGATAAATTGTAAGATATTTAGATTATTATATCATCACTAACAACATTTTCTTCGTTTTAGTGAACTACCACACCGCCCGCGTTTGTCATATTTATTTTACACTTTACTTTTTTTGCATGAACTGAAATCTTCTACATACTATACTGTTTTCCGTACACCTAGAGGGTCCATGAGGTTTGTGCATAAATTTGATTATTTTCTGCATATTGTTGTTAGGAGCATGCGTGCATCTCAGCTGGAAATGTTCCTTCCCTTTAAGACAAATGTCTAAATTAATTTATTTTTTAAAGGTTGCACTCTTACTAGCCCATGCAGATTATGAATGAACCCACACAAATGAGCAGACTTTAAAATGCTTGCAAACCGTGTTGTAAGGACATTTGTGTCTCTCCTGGTCCAAACTGTTGTCACTGCCTTTATGTTCTGATGTGAAGAGTCCTTTGCTGTTGTAAAACTCGGAAACCTTTGTTCAAAGTGACTCTGTTCTAAGTGGAAAATGGCAGATCAAATAAAGCTTCTATGCCTATTAAGTGAAGTATCATTTCCTCAGGAGTGTCTGGCTTGTTGAGTGGTTAGTGGTTGCTTGGTTGCTTAATTGCTTGACTGAAAAACAAAATCATTATTATGGCCATTATAATAAAATTCTAATCTAATTCAATCACTAAATGGCGGTACTCTAGATCTAATGTAGATTTTCAGCTTTTAAGCCAGCATAGCTGCATTTTTTTTACTCTATTTGTGCAGAGGAGCATCTTAAAATCATCCTGTTTCCAGGGTGATGTGGATGGAGGTGGGTGGGCAGTGGCACCCAGGGTGACCTTACTGAGACTGTGTTTTGTAATTCAGCATCTGCCATTCTGCAGTAAGGCGTTGCTCATGAAGAGGAAGTAAAGATAACTCAGGTGGAGAGTAGCCCGCTGCATCTGTGCACCTTCGAGAGTATCTAATATGATGACTAATATGATGCACTTATTACTTATTATCTTTATTTGTGAGGTTAATGTTTTTAAGCATGTAGTTATTTGCTTAAAAAAGGTTGGTTTTGATGCAGTTCTCATGTTAATGCTGTTTTACTCTTATTAACAGAGGTTAATTGACTGAGTGCACTCACTGCTGTGAGCAGTCATCAACCTTCTCTGGAAGCTGCGGTGTGCAATAGCAGAGTGGTCTTGATAGCCACAGACTAGCTCAATGAATGGATATTAAGTGCTTTGATTGCACATTAGCGTAGTTTTGGGAAGGAATGGCACAGCCACTTCCCTTTCTCTGTTTATATTCCTTTCTATGTGATATGAGGATTCTTTAAATGTTCTTGTAGTGTGCTTTTTATTTGTTTTCTAAACCATGTAAATGGACTGATGGATGACATGCCAAGAAAAAAAAATGAACGGAAATAGTCTTGGATGTTATTGCTGCAGTCATTTTCCCCCGAAGAAATGATAAAAATGCTAATGTGTTGTTGCTGTGTGCTTAAAAATGTGTGCATGTTTGGGTCTGTCTGTCTTTTTTTTT